GTAAAAAGAAAATAGGAGGAAGTTAATTTTACTAATAATTTTTTGAACCTGATCTATTTGAAAGATCAACATTTTCCACATGGAATCAACATAACAATTACGAATGAGATTTTTCTAATACCAAGTCCGGGAACTCCGCTGTGTTTTGTACACTCAGGGACCATCTCAGCTGGGACCAGCCACATTTCTAGGGCTGTCAGTGGATTCGAGGGGCTAGTGGCTGGGGGACGGAGCAATGCTGCTACAGATGTTCTAGAAAGCTACACTGCGCCCCATTTAGGCATCTGCTCAGGACAGGGGTGGGCTGGAGGAGTGGGCACCCATGGAGGGCGGAGAGTAAACCATCCCCACGCGCAGAGGCGGTGGGACCGGAGCGGATCGTCCACACCACACCTGTGCCCCCGGCAGGTGACTTTCCAGGTCACCTTCCAGGTCACCAGCTCCTCTCCGCGACCCCGGATACGCCTTCCGCACACAACCCCGAGTTCGGAACCGATCGGACGCTTCCCGCCGTCGGAGCAGCCGCAGACACAGCTCCAGGCGCTGAGTGGTGGTCTCGGGGGTCAGCTATGACCACAATGAGCTCTGCTCCGGCCAAGACCCCGCTTCCAGAGTTCAGACCGGCCACTCCTGAGCCCAGGCGTGGCCACCGACGCTCGTCCCTCGCCCTCTCCAAACTCGAATCTACTCGATGCCCCCCAGGGGCCTCCTGCTCCGCTGAGGACCCCCTAGAACGAGCTCCCGCCCCGAGGGTCCCCCGGGGCCACGGCCCGCCAACTCGCCCACCCACCCGTCCAGAGCACCCATCGTTCACGGTCTGGGCCCTCACCACGGCAGCTCGTAGTGGCCGGCGCTGCCCGGGCCCTTGCTGGGGGCGGGGGCAGGGTCCTGGGCCCCGCGCTCGCCCGCTCTACAGCCGCTCTCCTCCACCTCCATTCTCCCGCCGCCTCTTCCCGCGCCGGAGGCCCCGCCCCCGTGACGCCATCACGCGGGCCCCGCCCCTAGCACCCGGCGGACGCCGGGCGGACGCGGAAGCGGTAGGCCACCCCCCCCCTTCCGCGCCTGCGCAGAGCGCTCCGGCGTGGCCGGGGCGGGGAGACACGGGTTTCTATGGAAGTCCTGGCGTCCAGACGGGCCGCGAGACGAAGGCGAGACCCTGCCACGTCGACCTCCGAGAAGGCAGGTCGCTCCAGGAAGGGACGTTCGGCGGTTTTCGTCTCTGTGTGATTTGTGCGGGAGGCCCTCTGGGCGCCCCGGCATCCCTGGGCGCGGGGAGAGGCGGGTGGGAGCATCCCACCGCCGCCCAGGTGCGGGGCGGACGGCGGACTCGGGCGGGCACCGCGGTCTGGGCAGTGACCTATGGGACCTGACCGCGCCCAGCTGTCCGGATCGCGGGTGGAGACGCCGGCTGCCACGGGGTGGGCTCCTGCGCCCTGGGACTCGGGGCTTGCGGTCAGGGAGGTCTCACGATGCCGGGGAGTGGGAAGCGCTCGGTGTCCTGCCGGAATACTCCGTCCTGACGAGTGCTTCGAGCCTTGTTTGGGGCTCCTGTCCTCCCTGCTGGACTGACCTTCGCTCACATAGCCCAGGTGTCATAGTAATGATTAACAATAAATAAAAGTGATGAACAATAACTGTCACTGTGCGTTAGACCTGGAGTGGGTACTCAGGTGTATCCGCAGGAACAGGCTTGAGAGTGATTGAGTCGTGTGTCTAGCGTCATTTAGGGGAAGTGGGGGAGCCAGGATCTGTTCCCCACCAGGCTGCCAAAGCAGTTCCTATAAAATTCCGTTGTAGTGCACTTAACCGTATCGCATCATAATTTCGGGATAAAAACTGGGTTTTATTATTATTATTATTATATTAATATAATATATACTATTATTTCATGTCCAAATGGAAGGTAAGACTTGGGACCCGTTAGCCTCTATCCCTAATGCTTAGCACAAGGCCTGGCGCATTGTAGATCTTCTCATTCGAGTGTCTTTCCTGAACAGTGGGGATCCCCGTTTCCAGAACAGTTTGGATCAGCTGTGAGGAACTGGGTTGCTTTCCCCAGACCGCAGATCAGAACCCCAGTGGCTGTTTTCCTTCCATCACCAGTTAAAGTCTCTATATATTACCGGTCGAAGACCTTGTCTTCCGGGTGATTGATTAGTCATTCAAGTAAACATGGGCTCCAAAGGCTATATCCCAAGTGATTCTGTTCAGTTTTTTATCCTGACCTTTCAATTTCCTTTCCCCAATTACGGATATCTCTTGGGGAAGACATTATTGCTCTTATACTCATTTTCGTGTGAAGTGTGTCAAGTCTGTGTGTCATCTCCCCAACCTGAGGGATCAGCTCCTTGAGAATGAGGTGCCTGCCGCCTGATTCCTGGTTCCTCCCCTCGACCACAGCAGACGCGGAGTTCGTGTCTGCTAATGGCTCATTTCATTCCAGTTCCACAGCCAGGCTAGCGAGTTCGAAGCCGTGAGCACAATTTGCAGTTGTGTCCTGTGAGATGGACGGGAACACGTGATGCCATTTGGGCAGGGACCACAGATGACTCAGATTCTGAAGCAGTTTGTTCTCCTGGTGCTGATTCCTAAAGTCTCCAGGTGGGGAAGTTGCTCAGTGTTTTTCTTTTCCCCTTTTATATGATTTTGGGGGGAAAAAACGCTTGAAGTTGACTCTCCTTCTTCCATTCTCCTTTAAACTAAAGGAGCCGTCTTGCACGTTTCGAAAATCCCTGTTCACGGATCCTTTACTTCTCTGGAGAAGATACAAATCTTCTCGAAACACAAACTCTCTTTGAAGCATCTTTCCCTTGGGGTGTTTTCCATGTGGTAATACTAATATTTTCCTTCTAGTCATACACCCCCTTCAACCACATACACAGCTTAAAAACAAAATATTTTCAGTAAATAGAGAAAACAGTGTGTAATTCTTAACCCTTTCCTGGTTCTTTTTGCAAAATCCCACTCTACAGGAAGCTTGTGGGGGCGCCCAGGACTCTGCATTCACTGTTGCACTTGGAATGCAAGGAGAATCAGAGAAGGAGGTGACCTTTAGGGCAGAACTGCGTGATAGGGTTTTGTTGTTGTTGTTGTTGTTGTTGTTTGTAACAAGGCTTTTTTATATTGAGCTGTCTGTGCCTCGTTGAACTTGGTCCCAGACAGAGCTCAGAGCTTAAAAACTCTGTCCATTGCTATAGAGCCGCTCAGCAGCCACGTTGGGGGTCCCAGGTGTGTTGGGGAAACCACAGGTCAAGGAACAAACCAAAGGAAAGGTCAAGGACAAGCCAAAATGAATTCCTCCTCTTCTCTCCTAATAAATCGGCGAAATCCCAGGAAATTGAATCTGCACTTAGGCAAAGCCCCCTGACTCTTACCACACGAGGGTAATTAGTTATACAAAAGAGGAAGGACATGGAAAGCAGAGAAAACAGAAAACAAAATCCTTGGGACTCTTGGGTGGCTCAGTGGGTTAAGCATCTACCTTTGGCTCAAGTCATGATTCCGGGGTCCTGGGATTGAGACCTGCATTGAGCTTCCTGCTCAGCGGGGAGTCTGTGTCTCCCTCTCCCACTGCCTGCTACTCCCCCTGCTTGTTCTCTTTCTCTTTCTTTCTGTCAAATAAATAAATAAATCTTAAAAAAAAAAAAAAGTCCTTGGGGTGCCTGGGTAGCTAACTCGGTTAAGCCTCTGACTCTTCTTGATTTCAGCTCAGGTCATGATCTCACGACCATGAGATCGAGCTCTATGTCGGGCTCCATTTGGCCGTGGAATCTGCTTGAGATTCTGTCCCTCTGCCCTCTCCCTGCTTTCTCTCTCTCTAAAAAAAAAAACCAAACAAACAAACAAACAAAAAAGAACTTTCACCAAAAGCCAGAGCATTCCCATCAAATTGTTAGATGCGGGGGCTCCTGCGTGGCTCAGTGGGTTAAGCCTCTGCCTTTGGCTCAGATCACGATCCCAGAGTCCTGGGATCGAGCCCCGCATTGGGCTCCCTGTTTGGTGGGGAGCCTGCTTTCCCCTCTCTCTGCCTGCTGCTCTGTCTACTTGTGATCTCTCCTTCTCTATCAAATAAATAAATAAAATCTTAAAAAAAAAAAAAAAAGGCTTGGGGCGCCTGGGTGGCTCAGTGGGTTAAGCCTCTGCCTTCGGCTCAGGTCATGATCTCAGGGTCCTGGGATCGAGCCCCGCATCGGGCTCTCTGCTTAGCGGGGAGCCTGCTTCCTCCTCCCTCTCTCTCTGCCTGCCTCTCTGCCTGCTTGTGATCTCTGTCTGTCAAATGAGTAGATAGAATCTTAAAAAAAAAAAAAGGCTCATTATGTAGTAAAAAAGCATATATCCTAAAACATATCTACACCATAAGGATTGTTATTTGGGTGACATTTGTCCTCGGGAATTGCTCTGTTGATGTTTGCGGAATTTGGAATCTGGTAGAAATCATTCAGCCCAACTCTGGGTTCCCATCTTTAACAAATATTGACTGAGTGCCTCCAGCCACCACGATGGGCACGGGATGTGTGGACAGGGCAAGCTTCCACCCCCAAGGAGCTTAAATTGTAGGGAGGGAAACAGGCACCAAGAAGCCAGTCCTATGTCGATTTAATTATAATCACGGTTGAGTGTTGGAAAGGGCACTGAATGCTTGGAAGGAGAGCATTGGTGGGGTACCACGCCACCTGAGAAGTCAGAAAGGGCTTTGCTGGGGAGGGGACGTTTGACCTGAGATCTGAACCCTGATCCCTGTCTGAGAGCTGAGTGCCTGTTGGCTTTGCCTGGAAGGTGGCCCCCAATGCCCTCCCTGTCTTCCATTGCTCTCTCTCCCCCAAGAACCCGTTTATTTCTGTATTGTCTTTACGATTATCTGGATTTATTGCCTTATTTACTATTCGTTTCCGCCCCCCCCAGAATGACAGCTCTTCGAGAACAGGAGCTCCCTCCCTCCTGGTCACCACGGCATCCCTGTGGCCTGGCAAGGCCTGAAGGACATGACGAGTCTGCAGTGACGAGAGGATCCAGGGTGAGCGCGAATCAGGGCTGCAGAGGAAGGGGGCCTGCCGGGGCCAGACTGTGCAGGACCGGAGAGGTTAGGTAAAAGCAGCAAGGCCCAGTTTTTGTTTTTGTTTGTAAAAATTTATTTATTAGAGAGAGAAGGAGAGTGCAAGAAGGGGGAGGGGCAGAGGGAGAAGGGGCTCCATCCCAGGACCCTGAGATCATGACCCGAGGCTAAGGTAGAGGCTTAACCCACTGAGCCACCCAGGTGCCCCGAAGAGTTTATTTTGATTTGTGATCTTTTTATCTCTAAATTTAAAATTATAAAACATGTGAAACATAATGAAAATAATATCAACATTCATATACCCATCCATCAAGACAGATGTTAAAATTTTGCATCTTGGGGCGCCTCGGTGGCTCAGTGGGTTGAAGCCTCTGCCTTCGGCTCGGGTCATGATCTCAGGGTCCTGGGATCAAGCCCCGCAACGGGCTCTCTGCTCAGCAGGGAGCCTGCTTTCTCCTCTGCCTGCCTCTCTGCCTGTTTGTGATCTCTGTGTCAAATAAATAAAATATTTTAAAAAAATTTTTGCATCTTTTTTTAAAAAAGAAAACATTATAGGGGTGCCTGGGTGGCTCAGTTGTTAGGCGTCTGCCTTCGGCTCAGGTCATGATCCCAGGGTCCTGGGATTGAGCCCCACATCAGGCTCCCTGCTGGGTAGGAAGCCTGCTTCTCCCTCTCGCACCCTCCCTGCCTGTGTTCCCTCTCTCGCTGTGTCTCTCTCTGTCAAATGATCAAATAAAATCTAAAAAAAAAAAAAAAGAAGAAACCATTATGGATATCGCTAAAGATCTCTATCCTATTCTTTCCTTTTCTCTCTCCTATCCCCACTTTACAGAAGAGGAACCCAAGGCAGAGAGGTCAAGCTTTGTCCCCAAGATCTCTTGGTGAGTAGGGGGATCTCTTGGATCTACCCTGGGTGGTCTGAGCCCTGAGCCTGTTTTACATGCTTTTGTCCTTTTTTTTTTTTTTTTTTTAAGAGCTCATACAAGCAGGTGGGGGTGGGAAAGGGCAGAGGGAGAGGGAGAATCTTAAGCAGGTTCCACCACCCAGGCTTGATTGCACAACGCTGAGATCATGACCTGAGCGGAAATCAAGATGCAGACACTTAACAAACTGGTAGAAATAGAAAAAGAATTGCGAGGTTCCAAGCAAGAGACTCTTCAGTTTAATTAGGGTCATTAGAATGACCTTATGGAGTAGGTCTCCAGGCAGATCCTCACAGAATATTCAGCGTCAAGGTAGAGGGAAAAACCCAAACCCTACAGGGCCTTGTATGTTTTACCTCCACAAGGCCATCTCCCTGACCTCCCTTTCTACCACCCTTGCTCTCATACACTGTTCCAGGCACAAAGGCTTCCTTGTACTCAGTGAGAAGGGCCTAGCACATCTCTACCTCAGGACCTTTGCACTTGCTATTTCCTTGGCCTAGAATGCTCTTCCCTCAGATGTGCACGTGGCTGGCTGGCTCTCTTACCTCATTCTGGTCTCTTCTCCGTGTTACCTATTTGTTGAGGCTTCCCTGTTCCCTTCCTTCCACCTGTCCCTTTCCCTACCCTGCTTTCCTTTTTCTTCTATAACATGTAACTCTAGCTGATAAATATGTAGTAAGTATGTATTGCGTCCCCCCCGTTAGAGTATGTTTCATGATGGCAAGGATTTTTCTCCATATTAGCCACTGCTGTGGCAGCGCCTTGAATAATGGCAGCATTCAGCAGATGGAGATGATAGGTAGATAGATAATTTTTGGCAATAAGAATAACGGTTCTTTCCTCCTTTTTTTTTTTTTTTGAGTATAGTTGACGCACAATGTTCTTTTAGTTTCAGGTGTCATTGAGAAATATTTTTGGAATAAATGAATAATCCCGGGGAGTTTCAGAATTACAGACATGATGAAGTCAGTCAAAATTTTACATTAATATTTTTCCGTAGCACTCAGGTATAATCATTACATATTTGGTCTTTTAAGGATTTGAAATGCTTAAGAGAACTTGACATACTAGTGTCTATCAAGGGAACTTTATGATTCTAATTCAAAATGTCAAATTGCGGGGCGCTTGGGTGGCTCAGTTGGTTAAGTGTCTGCCTTCAGCTCATGTCATGATCTCAGGTCCTGGGATCCAGCCCTGTGTCCATCGGGCTCCACGCTCAGTGGGGGTGCCTGCGTGTCCCTCTCCCTCTGCCCCTCTTCCTACTCGTGCTCTTTCTCTCTCAAATAAATAAATCTTTAAAAGAAGAATAAAAAGTAAAGTGCCACTCAGTGGTCAAGTACTATTATTATTGCACATGAGAAAACCCCGGGCCACTGAGATATGTGGCTGGGCCACAGATGGCCGCTCAAGCATCCCAGCTCCCCACCTTGGACAGCTGCCTCTCTGCCTGCTGTCCCCGGAGTGAATGTGGGGCTGGTGACCGTCTCCAGGCCCTGCTGAGGTTCAGTAATAGTAACTAACAGTTGGCCTGGGTAAGGGGCTTTACCCGGACCCCATATGGCCCTCTGGGAGGCTATTGTCATCCCTATTACAGACATAGAAACTGAGGCACCTGACAGCCCAGGTCTTTTGGGGAGTGGGAGGTGGAGCCCAGATCCAGCCTGGTGGCCTGACCCAGAGCTATGCTCCCCACTGCGTCTGAGCAGCTGCTGTCATCTCTGCCCCTCCGAGGACATCGTGGCCTCCCCAGGAGCTTCCTGGGCCCTTGGTTAAGGTCATTACTCTGTCCATAGAGGAGGCACACCTACCAGAAGGACCCTCCCTCTGGGTGTGTCTCCGCCTCTCCTGGAGTCTCTCCCCAAGTCTGGCGTGTGTCTCTCAGTGTGTGGCTTGCAGCTGTCATTCTGGTTAACGAGGTCACTGGGTAACCTCCGCCTGGCCTCTCTCCACAGGCGTCCCAGAGAGGGAAGCCCCTTTGACAATAACCGTCCTCACTCTGGAGCCGGGACGCGACTCCCGCGTGGAAAGTTCACAAGGGACCAGCCCCCTGGGAGCACTGTTCTGGGAGCACTATTCTGACCACAACAGGTGGCGCAAAGTGAGTTTGACAGGAGCTTCATGGCTCGAGAATCCTGGCAGGTATACAGGTGTCCCCCAAGTGACAGGCGACACCTGGAGACCTGACGGAGTGCCAGGCCCCACAGGGAGATGCCCTGCGAGCTAGGTCTTCCAAGGAACCCCAGCCCAAGCTTAAATCCGTCACGGGAAGTACCCGTTCTGTTTAAGTGCCTTCTGTATGCAAAGTTTGTCCTTTTAGCTAGTTTGTTAAATGTTCATAATGGGTAAACTTCGAAAACTGCTTCCACACGCTTCCTTGCCTTCTTAGGGAAAAGGAAGGGCACAGAATTTTTCCTGGCGCCCCGGGGACCATGGGATCTGCGTGCTGCTGTGTGGGCCTGATCCCAGGGGTACGAGCAGCACTGCCAGGCTGTTGGCGCACACTGTGGAGCCTGGACCTCTAGGCTGTTTGGGTTCCTTACCCTAATTCTGTTCCAGTTGTCCAGTCGTCCGGGCTGGCCCTTCTTCCTGTCCTCGTCGGCATGTCTGCCCTGGCCTTCCTGTGGCTGCGTCATCTGCTGAGGGACAAGGGGGGACCAGAGCACCCAGCTCATTCCACTTCTGTCCACTTACCCCTCCGGCAGAGGCTGGTGCGAGATAGGAGTGCCGATTTCTGTCTTTCAAGATTTTTTATTATTTTTGGTTCACCTGGTTGGCTCAGTCGGTTAAGTATCTGCCTTTGGTTCAGGTCATGATCCCGGGGTCCCAGGACTGAGCCCCTTGTCGAGCTCCCTGCTCAGCAGGGAGCCTGCTTCTCCCTCTCCTGTTCCCCCCTGCTTGTGCTCTCTCTCTCACTGCCCCCGCAAATAAATAAATAAAATCTTCAAGAAAAAAAAGATTTTTTATTGTTTTTAAATCATCTCTGCGCTCATTGTGGGGCTAGAACTCACAACCCCAAGACCAAGAATTGCGTGCTCCATCGACAGAGCTGGCCAGGCTCCCCAGGAGTGCGTGTTTCTGCCTGGGGGTTGATGTGGTGTGCAAATCTACACACACGTGCGCACATTAGCTGTAACATACATGGTGTGTAACATATAACATGTATGTATATGTCATTACTGCTTTAATGTTCACTTTCTTTTTAAGTTTTATTTATTTATTTATTTTTTTTTTTAAAGATTTTATTTTATTTATTTGACAGAGATCACAGTAGACAGAGGCAGGCAGAGAGAGAGAGAGAGAGAGAGGGAAGCAGGCTCCCCACTGAGCAGAGAGCCCGACGCGGGACTCGATCCCAGGATCCTGAGATCATGACCTGAGCCGAAGGCAGCAGCTTAACCCACTGAGCCACCCAGGCATCCCTATTTATTTATTTTTTAAAGATTTTATTTATTTATTTGACAGACAGAGATCACCAGTAGGCAGAGAGGCAGGCAGAGAGAGAGGGGGAAGCAGACTTCCCACAGAGCAGGGAGCCTGATGCGGGGCTCGATCTCAGGACCCTGAGATCGTGACCTGAGCCGAAGGCAGAGGCTCAACCCCCTGAGCCACCCAGGCGCCCCAGCTTTTTGAGTTCCAGTTAGTTAACATAGATCATGTTAAGCCAATATGTTATATTGGCTTCATAATTTTCACCTTCTTCATAAGCACCTTTTAATAAATGCATTGACTTTTTCTATTTCTTTTCCGTGACTTATCTGTTTGCCTGTTTTTCTGTTCCGGGCAAACTGTAAAGCTCTTTGGGAGAACGGTTTGTCAGTTGCTAGCAACGCTTTATTTATTTATTTTTTTAAGATTTATTTATTTCTCATGTGAGCAAGGGGAGGGACAGAGGGAGAAGGAGGGAAATAATCTTAGGCAGGCTCCACACCCGGCTCAGAGCCCAGCCCGGGGGTCCCATCTCAGGACCCCGACGACATGACCCAGGCTGAAATCAGTCAGATGCTCAACCCACTGAGCCATCCAGATGCCCCTCAGATTTTATTTTTAAGACATCTCTATGCCCAGAGGTGCCTGGGTGGCTCAGTGGGTTGAGCCTCTGCCTTCAGCTCAGATCCTGATCTCAGGGTCCTGGGATCGAGCCCCGTATCCGGGCTCTCTTTTTAGTTGGGAGCCTGCTTCCCCCCGCAGCCCGCCTGCCTCTCTGCCTACTTGTGATCTGTCTCTCCGTCAAATAAATAAGTAAAATCTTAAAAAAAAAAAAAAAAAAAAACAAAAAAAAACCTCTCTCTACCCAACGTGGGGCTCGAACTCACAACCCTGAGATCAAGAGTCGCAGTTCCACTGACTGAGCCAGCCAGGTGCCCCTGGAGTAAACCATCCTATCTGAAGTCTTGCTGCGTCAGGGGTGGTTCAGCTTCAGCTGGGAGCAGGACACAAATGTGGTCTCAGGAAGCAGCGGTCAGGGGTTCTCCAGCCTGACTGCACAGAATCACCCAGAGCGTGGGACACAGATGCTGAGGCTGGGGGAGGGGAGGCACCACAAAGGTTCGGACGTTGTAGGTCTGGGGGCCTGCACACACAGCAGGACCGAACCTCTGCCCGAAGACCCCAATAAAGGGATAAAGGCAGGGACCGCAGTGTGAGTGGGGTGTGGGGACTCTCCCGGCAGAACTGTGCTGGCCCAGGCCCTTTAGGCTGCTCTGTGGGACTTTCTCTTTTCTTTTGCTTCCTCTCGGATTCTCTGTGTCATGGAGCATTTGGACAGCTAGATCCTGGAGCCCACTTTAAGCTAAGAAGCCCTACAACAGAGAAAAACTACATGTCCACCCAGGATCAATTAGGGGTTGACTGGCTGCATTTTTAAAAACCTCACCTAGGGGTGCCTGGGTGGCTCAGTGGGTTAAGCTGCTGCCTTCGGCTGGGGTCATGATCTCAGGGTCCTGGGATTGCCCCGTGTTGGGGTCCTTGCTCAGTGGGGAGCCTGATTCTCTCTCTGCCTCTGCCTGCCTCTCTGCCTGCTTGTGCTCACTGTCAAATAAATAAATAAATAAATAAATAAATAAATAAAATCTTTGCCGGGGGGGTGGGGGGCACCTCACCTAGGCAGTTTGACGGTTCTTTCTGTACCAGTGTCCCCAGGACATTCTTCTCCGGGTGAGGTCACGCCTACCATCTCTGCGCCACCTCCACTGCAAATGGGGTGCTTCTCTTGCGTCCAACTTGGGGGTGTATTTTTTTCCCCTGAATCCCAGAGATAGCCAAGCATGGGTGTGTCCCTATCTGAAGAAGGCATCTGAAAGGGAAGCCTCGTCTGAGCTTGCCCACTTGCACACCGCATTCTTCTGGAAGCCCCAAGGGCATCAGTTCCAAGAAGGTGCGGCTCCCAGATTGAAATATTTGCCCCACACCAAAGGTGGTGGGGTGCAGGGTATAACTTTGGAAATCCTCGATAACCTCAAAGATTCCACCAGAACTATGGCTTATTCTGCCCCAGGGAGGGTCCTTGGTGTGGGGAGGTAGTACACAGGCTATGGGGTGGGGCGGGGGGGGGGGTGACACGAGCAAGAGACAGATGCCCAGAGACACAGGTGGCAATCGGGCCATGCCTTGATTCCGTCCCCCCATCCACGCCCCCGTTCATTTATTCAACAAGTATTTCGTGAACGGGACCAAAGTCAGGGCCCTGTCAGCATGTGGGATACAGCCGAGGAAGGGCTTCTGCTCCCCAGGGCACATGCGGTGGGAAGACCAGACCGGCTCTGAGCCCAGACGTTGAGGACAAACATCAGGAACAGTTTCTTGGAGGAAGGGATGCCCAGGTCAGGCCCTGAGAAGGGAGCGGGAGTTATTCTCCTGGGAGAGCCCCAGGGGTGCTGCTGGCCCCAGGTTCCAGAAAAGGGTGTAGTCCACGCGAACATGGGGAGGGGGTCTCCAAGACAAGTCAAAGCTCAAAGATGTAAGTTCACCGCAGGAGCAGCAGCGAGTGAAGCAAAGGTACAGCCTTGGGGACGGCCAGAGCTTCGCAGAGCTGAGACAAAGGGTGTCCAGGTGCAGGGAGAGCAGGTGAGGGGCTGGAGCGGGGGCTAGGCACCCCTGCAAGTGCCAGAAAGCCTGCCCGAGTCCCCAACTTAGAAAGGCGGGATGAAGGAACGCTGTTGATCAGGGGGATGGCTTGGGCTAGGTGGGGACACCAGAAGGTTAAGCCACACCCCGTCTCGCTTGGAGGGTACTGGAGTCCCAAACTGGGTCTCCAAGCTGGGGTGCAGCCTGCACATGCCCCCCACACCCGACCGATGGAGGAGCTAGAGGTGGGCGGGTCCGCACTGCGCGGCGCCCCGAGGTCCCCACTCAGGGCAGCCCCTGCTCCAATACCACCTCTCCCCCACCGCCCGCAAATATTTACATCCTGTTTATGCCGAGGCCTCCCAGGGCCTCCAATTTTCATGAATAAAATATGAGTTTCTAGGCCAAGCCAAGGAGGGAAGAAACCCCCTCCTGCTGGTAGGGACCAGAGGCAGTTTAGTGCTTCGGTTGCTGTCGCCTCCCGCATGGTATTTGGAGGAAGTTTGAATTGGCCCATCAAGGTGACCCAGGCGGGAGATTGGGCATTTTCTAGACCTTCCCGGGGTTCTAGGAACTGAACCAGGGGCGGTGCACATCCCCTGAACTTGCCTCATGAGACTGTTTCCGGAGACACCCAGACTGTCACTCTCCTATCCTTCCGAAATGTCGTTCAAGTCCAAGGTTGTCATTGGCAGAGGCTGACTTTAGAGATAATCTGGCCCAATGCGCTCCTTTAAAAAAAAAAATCTTTTTTTAAATTTTATTTATTAATTAGAGTGAGAGAGAGAACGTGAGCAGGAGGGGCAGAGGGAGAGGGCGACACCCCCCTCCCCAGCAGGGAGCCCAACCAGGGGCTTCATCCCAGGACCCTGGGATCCTGACCTGAGCAGAAGGCAGATGGTTAACTAACTGAGCCTCCTTTTAAGGAAGAGGAAACGGGCTCAGAGGGGCAAGGGGCTTGTCTGGAACCACTTGGGCTAATCAGTGATAAGCTGTCAGGGTTCCCTGTCACCAGGTCCAATACTGGAAAATATTGGAATTCATAGACAACATTTTACAGAATGGTTTTGGATTTTCAGAAAATTAAGCAGATAGTACAGGGTTAGTACAGGTCCCACAGACCCCATCTCCTGGCACACAGTTTCCCCCATTAGTAACATCTCAGGTGAATATGGAATGTCTATTACAATTTTTCTTTTTTTTTAAGAAATGCTTTGGTTTAGGGACGTCTGAGTGGCTCAGTGGGTTAAGCCGCTGCCTTTGGCTCAGGTCATGATCCTGGGATCCTGAGATCAAGTCCTGCGTCGGGCTTCTTGCTCAGTGGGGAGCCTGCTTCCCTCTCCGCCTCTACCTGCCACTCTGCCTACTTGTGCACACACACTCTCTCTCTCTGACAAATAAATAAAAATCTTTAAAAAGAAAGGAAAAGAAAAATGCTTTGATTTATTAAGTAGACTCTACACTCAATGTGGAGCCCAATGTGGGGCTTGAACTCATTACCCTGAGATCAAGACCTGAGCTGAGATCAAGAGTCAGACGCTTTGGGATTCCCGGTGGCTCAGTCAGTCTAGCCCCTGCCTTTGGCTCAGGTCGTGATCCTTGGGTCCTGGGATGGAGCAGGGAGTCTGCTTCTCCCTCTCCCTCTGTCCCCCGACCCGCCTTGCTCTCTCTCTCTCTCAAATAAATAAAGTCTTTTTAAAAAACGAAAGATTCAGGGGCGCCTGGGTGGCTCAGTTGGTTAAGCCGCTGCCTTTGGCTCAGGTCATGATCTCAGGGTCCTGGGATCGAGTCCTACATCAGGCTCCTTGCTCGGCCAGGAGCCTGCTTCTCTCTCCACTTCTGCCTGCCTCTCTGCCTGCTTGTGCACGCTCTCTCTCTCTCTCTCTCTCTGACAAATAAATAAATAAATAAATAAAATCTTTAAAAAATAAAAGATTTAGAAGCTTAACTGACCGAGCCACCCAGGTGCCCCCATTTATTACCATTAATGAACCAGTATCAGTACATTGGTATTGACTGAGATCCATTGTTTGCATTAAGTTTTCCCCTTTACGTTCACTTTTATGGGTCTTGAGACATGCATAATGTCGCATAACCCCCCATTTCAGTATCATACAGAATAGTTTCCCCTCCCTAAAAATCACCTGCTCTCCTGTGTATCCCTCCCACCTCCTCCTCCCTACGCAGCCACAGCAACCGCTAATCTTTGTATGTTCTCCACGGTCTTGCCTTTTCCAGGATGTCACACAGTTAGAATCAAACGGCATGTGGCCTTTTCAGACTGTCTTCTTGCACTTAACAAAATGCATTACAGAT